TCATGTGTCCTGTCCCTTGTGTGAATATTTCTTGTTATCCTGAAGGTAGTGGTGGTGAACTCCAACGGGACGTCGTTTGACTATGTGTCGGCCGTCCCCGTCGAGAACGGACCGGTCAGTCTGGACATTTACTCCACTCCTCATTACAAAGTGGAGCAGCCGGCAGAATCTGAGGGTGAGGACCGGAAATACACATCCATAAATGTGACGTTGTGTGTCTGTGTGTGTGTGTGTGCTTCAATGAAAACACGCATTAATATAAACCAGTGATTAATCTATTTGTGCATTAAACAGTTTTATTGCACACCATCAAGCCAATCAGAGTCAAGTATTCAGACAGACCATGGTACTATAAATACACATAAGTCATCAAAATGCCCATCTTTACAAGTATCCTCATAAACCCTGTTATTTATGTCTTTAGTGAATGTAAACATTTTCAACAGCTTGGCAAATCCAGTGACTAGAAGAAATGGTTCTATTTAAAACCAGAAATGGTTCCATCCACCGCTTCATATATGGAACTCCAAAATGGTTCTATAGAACCATTTTTTGGTAAAAGGTTCTATTGGCCAAGTATGGAACCCCAGGGTTCTATATAGAACCCAGAGGAACCCCTTTTTAAGAGTGTATAGAACCTTTTAGGGGTTCCAAATACGTAGCGCTGATAGAACCTTTTAAGGTTCTATATAGAACCTTTTCTTCTAAGAGTGTAGTTCTTCCTCAGTGTTAAAGGATGTTATTTTGATAGATTTCTAGTTAACTAATATATTCAGCGATAAGTGATGAAATGTAAAGATGCATTACTTTAATGCTCCACACAGAGAAGACGGATGAGAACACAAATGAGATCGTGGACTTACAGCTGGAGGAGGAAGAGGAGAAGGCAGATGAGGAAGAGGAAGAGCAGGGTGGACCGCCAAGCACTCTCGTAAAAGTGTTCAAGTTCATCATGAAGCAGAGCTACATCTGTGCTCTTATCGCTATGATGGTGAGAAGGTCAAAGGTTAAAGGAATAGTTCTTTTTTTGAACTGTTCCTTTGAAGTTCTAAATTCGAATGTGAGTGGGAAATGGAACGTTTGGAACATTTGGAACACGGAATCTTACGAATGTTTGTGTGTTTCCCAGGCGTGGAGTATAACGTACGTGAGCTGGCTGACGTTTGTGTTTCTCCTCTGGTCCTGTACTCTCTGGATGGTGCGAGACAGGAGGAAGTACGCCATGCTGACCTCGCCGTTCATGGTGGCTTATGGGAACCTTGTGTTAGTCCTTCAGTATATCTGGAGTTTCGAGCGCTTGGAGGAGGTGCCTGGGTTCTTTCTGAAGATGACGGTGCCCTTCACTGGACTGAGCTCAAAGGTAACAATTAGACATGTAGCCAATGAATTGCCCGATTTTGCGAAAGATTATGTATTTTTTTTCACTTTAATTAGTATGGAAGCTTGTTTCCGCCACAGAATGAAAAATAAAAAATAAAGTAAAAAAGTTGCAAAAGTAATTGCGACTTTTTATCTCACAATTCTGACTTTTTTTCTCACAATTGCGAGATATAAAGTCAGAATGGCGAGATATAAAGTCAGAATTGCGTGATATAAAGTCACAATTATGTGTTATAAAGTCAGAACTGCGAGATGTAAACGCGTTATTGTGAGAAAAAGTCAGAATTGTGAGAAAAAAAGTCAGAATTGTGAGATTCTGTCTTTTTTCGCAATTCTGTCTTTTTTTTTCCTCGCAATTGCGACTTTATTTCTCATAATTGCGACTTTATATCTCGCAATTGCGACTATTTCTCAGAATTACGACTTTATATCTCGCAATTGCAATTTTATGTCTTAGAATTGCGAATTTATATCTCGCAATTGTGACTTTATTTCTCAGAATTACGACTTTTTATCTCGCAATTGCGACTATTTCTCAGAATTACGACTTTATATCTCGCAATTGCAACTTTATTTCTTAGAATTGCGAATTTATATCTCGCAATTGTGACTTTATTTCTCAGAATTACGACTTTTTATCTCGCAATTGTGACTTATTTCTCAGAATTACAACTTTTTATCTCGCAATTGCGACTTTATATCTCATAATTGCGACTTCATATCTCGCAATTGCGACTTTAAGTCTCTTATGTTCACCGAGGCTAAATTTATTTGTTCATTTGATTATAAAAAAAAAACTTTTCTTTTCAAACTTATGAACATTGTAGTGTATATTGTAGCATATTTATTTTGTACACAAATGTTATATGTTAAATATATGGGCTTTATTCTTCCACAGAATAAAAAAGAATAAAGGTAATTGCGACTTTTTATTTCACAATTCTGACTTTTTTTCGTCGCAATTTCAAGAAACAAGTCAGAACTGCGAGATAAAAGGTTGCAATTATCTAATTATTAGATATTAATTCGTGGCAGAAACAAACTTCCATAAAATTGTGTATCAAACAATATAGTTACGAACAAGTACAAACTACTGTACATTATATAGCTATAATACATCCTCATAACTATAATTGCATATAACTGCCTTAAGTTATAAACACACTTTGAATGTAAAACGTCACTATACTGTGATTTATTTATACATTTCTGCCCATTACCAGTATTTTACTAGTGTGTTTTTGCCATTGTGTGTTGTAGATTCTGTGTCAGCTGAGCTTCTGGCTTCTGTTCAGACAAACGCTGATGGAGCGACAGGCGAGGATGGAAGAAGAAGCATCGCTCTGTGACGTCCAAGTAGACCAGCAGAAAAAAGGTGGTTTATTAGAATCTCTAAAAAGTGGTTTCAATGCAGATTAACAGTCACAGCAGAAAATCTCTTAGTTATTTTATATCCTTAAAGAAATGCATTTCCATGTGGGTTTCAGAGGAAGACAAAGAGGAAGAGGAAGTGGACGAGAACGACCTGATGTATGTGATGGGGAACCTAGTGAAGGCTCTGCTGGTCAAATACTGGATCTATGTCTGCGGAGGAATGTTCTTCTTCGTCAGCTTTGAAGGAGAATTAGCCATGTACAAGATCGTCTACATGATGATGTTTCTCTTCTGCGTGGCTCTTTACCAGGTGCACCACTGTCTAACATTTTGACTGGAGACAGGTTTATTAGGTGTCTGTCACACATGACGCGGATTTGACACTCATCGCGTTTTCTCACAACTCTTTACATTTAACTGTTTAACCCTTGTGCTGCATTCGATTTTTAACACCGTTGAGTGCATTAAGGACCAAAAATGGCCACATATTAAACATTGCCTAAAATATTATATATTATTATTATTTTCCACTTTTACCAAGTTAAATCTTTTAACCAGCATCAGTCCTCATCATAACTACCAAAAATGTATTCAATTTCGGGATTTTAACCCTTTAATTACCAGTTTTGTTTGCGAAACCATCGATTTGTATAAGAGGAAAAAAACACAAAAATTCAATTATTTTCAATAAACTAAATGCAAAGAGAAAACTTTAGATTTGGATTATCACAGTCCCACTTTGCAAAAAATCCCACTTGGCGCGTTAGAGACCAAAAATGGCCACCTATTAAACATTGCCTATTGCCTAAAATAAGGTGCATTTCCACCAATAGGGAATAAATATGTAGTGACGTCATCTGGTGGAATACACTATATAATGCAAATATAATGCTTTTGCTTCAAAATGAAAGGATGTTTGTGCAAAAATCATGTTTCATGTATTACTGACAGCCTCAGATTTAAACAACGTTTTAATGGGTTTCAATGGGCCATTTTTGGTCTTTATGGTGCTGAGTGTTACTATTTGATCTGCACAGTGTGTGTTATACATATTTTGCAAAATCGGATCACATTTTTTACATGTATCCAAAAAGTCACAATTTTGCCAAATTTCATACCATTTGCATTAAAACAGCCAAAATGGTCAAAGAAATTAAACTGCAAAAGACCAAAAATGTCCCTAATGCAGCATAAGGGTTAAAAGACTGTTCTTGCAAAGATACTCAACAAATCTGCCATTTCGGCTTGTGTTGCATAAGATGAAGCCTATTGTATTATAAAGGAGGGGCGAGTCTTCATTTCGGTGACGGAGCGCTTGTGTTCTCCTCAGGTACACTATGAATGGTGGCGCAGGATCCTGAAGTACTTCTGGATGTCTGTGGTGTGTTATACTATGCTTGTGCTCATCCTAATCTACACCTGTCAGTTTAAGAACGCCATCGCTACCTGGACCAGTATGACAGGCTTGGGAGAGAAAGTGTGAGTATTAAATACTCTAGATACGTTTGATCTGTTGGCCATGCTACAAGCCACACAGTTGAGCGGATTCGTTGCCTCCACCAGCAGCTCATCTAAGGAAGCGTCCTAACTGAAATTAAACCTTATGTTTTATTACAGATTTTCAAGGAGTAGTTCACTTTAAAAAAAAAATTGCTGATAATTTACTCACCCCCATGTCATCCAAGATGTCCATGTCATTCTTTCTTCAGTCGAAAAGAAATGAAGGTTTTTGATTAAAACATTCCAGGATTTTCTCCATATAATGGACTTCAATGGGGTCCAAACGGTTCAAGGTCCAAATGAGAGTTTCAGTGTGAACTGCAAACTGTTCAAAGGGCTTTAAACGATTCCAGACGATGAATAAGGGTCTTAACAATCGTTTAAGATAACAAAGTTTAAGTTTTAAAGCTCAAATAGCCGCCTCGCTCTGTTCTGTGATGAGTGTCGTGACTCTCCCGTTCGAACTCGTTCATCAAAATGAACGAATCTTTTCCAGAGTCACCTCGTTCATTTCATTCGTTGAATGAACCAAATGACACAAAAAAAGATTCATTCTTTTTTTTTTTAGCTGTTTATTTTCACATTTTTTCCCTCTTACCACAACAAGAAAAAAAGACAAAAAAAATAAAATAAATAAATAGATAAATAAATAAAATACGGGAACGGGAATCCAAAAAAAAAAAAGTACATTTCTTGGTTTCAGTCCATATTATTACATGTTATTGTTTGCCATTCATGTCCAAAATACTCTTTAAGGGGAGACCAGTCCTTTACAAAAATATCCAGAGTTCCTTCCAGTACATTATGCCGTCTTTCGTATGGTAAGAGTGACAAGAGTTTTTCACGCCAAACAGTTAAATTAGGAGAGTATTCTTTAATCCAGACATGAAGTATGGAAAGACGAGCAGCATTCAACATTATGGATATTATTTTTGTTTCCAACACACAAGAATGCACAGTCTAGGATCCAATGGCACTTTAATCCCAAACGATTTTTTCATTTTGATGAACGAGTTTGAACAGGAGAGTCACGAACGCGCATCACAGAACAGAGCAAGACGAGATTATACAATTTTGACATTTGTGCTTATAAAACTTAAACTTTGTTATTATTTTTTTTAAATGAGCAATCGTTTCGCTTGATAAGACCCTTATTCGTCGTCTGAAATCGTTTAAAGCCCTTTGAACAGTTTGCAGTTTGCACTGAAATAGTCTTTTGGACCTTGAACCGTTTGGACCCCATTGAAGTCCATTATATGGAGAAAATCCTGGAATGTTTTCATCAAAAACCTTCATTTCTTTTCGACTGAAGAAAGAAAGACGTGGACATCTTGGATGACATGGGGGTGAGTAAATTATCAGCAAAAGTTTTTTTAAAAGTGAACTACTCCTTTAAGTGCAAAGCATGCAGTGCTTGAGCTAAAAAATGGTGTAAAAACTGCATAAAATGGCCTCTTTAAAACAAAGTCTTGATTTTGTTTTTCGGGCTCTACTAGAACAGGTTTTTCCCTATATTCTCCATTGTTGCGGCTCCTCTCTTCCCAGTCTGCCAGTAACGCTCTGTTTAGTTCCTGTCTCTATGAAGCTCCTCCTTCTGAAAAGCACACTGTGCTCTGATTGGTCGGCTGGACCAGTGTTGTGATTGGTCAGTCGTAAATGACACGCCTCTTCCCATTAACACGAGTTTCAACACACTACTAACTAACTCAACCAGGCCCCGCCCCTTTTATTCTGCGTATAAATTATTTAAATGATGACTATTTTAACGTGTTTGTTCCCGGAAGAAAACTCAAGACTACAATGGAGGCGTTTCAGAAACACTGACACTGATATCGAGAAGAACTCTTTTTAATGCTTAATGCTAGCAACATTACAGACTGTATGTAAAATAAAGCATAATTGGTCTTCTGTCTCTTTGCAGACTGAAGGATATCGGTCTGGAGAAGTACAGCCTCTCTGATTTGTTCACCCGTATCTTCATCCCCACGTCCTTCTTGCTGGTGTGTATCCTGCACCTGCATTACTTCCACGACCACTTTCTGCAGCTCACTGATCTCAAAGCAGTGGTCAGCAAACAGGAGAGCACCATTTACAGGTGAGAGCGCTCTCTCTGCTCAGGCCGAGGTCTTCGCTAGTTACAGCTGATGAGAACAGCGAGTGTGGATCGTAATAATATCTCAGATCTGATTAGAAGTCGTAACACAAGCTTTTCATTGATGTATGGTGTGTTAGGATAGGATATTTGGCCGAGATTCAACTATTTGAAAATCGAAAATCGCATTTAGTTGTGCATATGTTCACGATTGTACTTCATTCACTCACAAAGATAAATGTTTTCTATATTTACGGTAGGAAATTTACAAAACATCTTCATGGAACATGATCCTTACTTAAAATCCTAATTAAATGTTGCCATAAAAGAAAAATTGATTATTTTTTTTACCCATGCCACAAATGTACCTGTGTGACTTGTGACTTTTTTTAATGATCTTGGCCGGGTCACGAATGTATACTCGTCCAAATATTTGATTGAACATTCTCTTGTGGTGCATTGCTTTAATAATTAATTGTACACCGAAAATTAGTAGCTGTATTTAACTTCTAACGGTTTGCAGAGTGTTTTCTCCATTGTCTTGTTGAACTTCATTTTGGGCTCTCTTTACATCTGCTATTAAGACACGTTTTGGTCGATCGGATCACAAGTAGATTAGGGAGACACATTCCCGTTTACACCTGGGGCGCTATTTTAACGATCTGAAACGCAGGTATCAAGCGCAACTAACTTTGTGGGCGGATCTCGGCGCTGTTGCTATTTAACCGGCGGGATAAATGACTCTTGCGCCCGACGCACATCTAAAAGGGTCTGAAGTAGCTTCATTATTCATAGGTGTGGTTTGAGCGTAACGGGAAACAAACCAATAAGAGCGTCATATCACATTCCCTTAAACCCTCAGGTGCTCTTCGTTTCGGAGTCACACTTGTTATCTTCCCCGTCAAAAGTGACCGGACACCTAAAAATGAAACTTTCTCCATCCCAGTAAAACCAATGCAATTTATTTTTGTTCTATAATATTTATTCTTTTTAATTTAGTGTTTTGAGACAATTTAATTGAATTTATTAATATTTATGCAATATTTATGGTTTATTTTTGCCATGGAAAAAAATATATATATATGTATATATATATATATATATATATATATATATTTTTTTTTTTTTTTAAATGAATGCAGTATTTTAGTTTAATATAGAGTCTAGGCCTTCAGAAAAAAATTTTTTTTGAAGAAAATTAGCACCATCTGGTTACAGTATAGAGAAAAGGCATGAATCATGGTGTAACCACTAGATGGCAGTTAGCCTGCTTATAACCATTTGGCATTTAACCACTTAGCCTGCTCTGATCATGACCTCAATTTTTTTTGTGTGTTTACATACCCAATGCCATAAAAGTCACCAAGTTTTGTAACATTCCGATGAAGCTGTGATTTTTAAAATTTCAAAACAGAAAACTTTTGGGTCAGAAATGACCGAAGAGCACCTGAAGGTTAAGAGCGTGATGAACGAGGTGCGCTTGTTCCGTGGCGCAATACTATTATAACGGCGCATTTACCGGATGCACTTCACAATCGTTTCACAGCCGAGGAGATCGATGCTCTCGTCTGGGCTGTAAAAGAAAGGGAAGTGACATTGGGGACGGGACAAACCCACCCAAATTAGCTTCGGTTAAACATGTATATGATAATTTGGGTAAATGTGTAAGCTTTTATGCCTGTTTTTCCCATCGTCATGAAAACAACAATGATTTTCCTTGTGTTTTAAAGTCCCCGTGAACCGGAAGTTGCAAACAACTTTTCTCCAGTGTTGTGACATATTTCTGAGAGAAACGGAATACTAAATAAGGCAAAATAGTGGGCATGGCTTTTTTTTTCCAACTAGCACCTGATTGGATCTAGAAAAATGGGTGTTTCATTCTGAAATGGAGGATGATGCAAGTTTACACACGCTGTCAATCAATGCTCGCTCGGTACTCGCAAACACACAGCAGCTGTCTGTCAGTTGGAGGGGCGTGGTTATGGATGTTAAGGAGACACCCAAACCGTAAAGGCTACGTCATTGGGCAAGGTCCTCCAATGCAGAGGGGAGGGGCATTTTCAAACTTTGATTAAAGATTACAAAGCCCAAAAATGTTTTTGTGTGGATTGACTTGCATGTATGAATTGTTCACCACAAAACGATCAATTTAGGCAAACAAAGTAAGTATGGTCAATTTTGATTTCATGGGGACTTTAATACATTTCCTTGTAATAATGTATCATTTGCAAAAAGTAAAATGCATGATAAATGATAATGATAAATCCGTCAGTGTAGGTCAATTGCGCTGGGTGCAAGATAGGACCCATGGTGTGTTAATCTGTCTCTTTTGTCCACTTTCAACCACTTCTGTCCTGATTTCTTCGAGGGTCGATCAGTTTTTTCAGATCTTTTGATACAATGGATGAAATAAGCTCAGTAGACGGAGAGTCTTTTACACTACAAAAGCAATCGTTCAATGTGTTTTCAACTACCTCTGGAAGTGGTCGAAAGAGGACAAGCTCAAAATGTTTTAGAGTCGTTCACTTGTGATCTAATCGACCAAAACGCTTAGGTGTAAATAGAGCCTTAGTTTCATCCTCATGCTTCATTTCCTCATTTCTCACTGTCTACTTCATGATGGTTTGTCCTCTGTTCAGTCTGTTCCTGTGTAAACCTTGTTTTATCTCTGCCAATCATCTTACTTTATGCAAATTCACTTCTTTTTTAACCAATCATCTCCTCACATCTTTCCCCTGCCATCCCTCACATCACAGCTATACTAAAGTCAGTGGTCGTATCTATCTGATCGTGGATAGGTGGGTGACTGATTTTCTTTCTCTGCCATTTATGGAATCCACCACGAATGTTCACCTTTTCCCCAATTTCCCACAATCCCTCATTCTTCTCACTACTCTCAGTACACCGTTTTCTCACTTGATGGTGTCACTTTTTAACGGCCTGCTAGATTCCTAGATGGATCCAAAAATGTGTGATTTTCTTATTTAGAACTTTAGTTTTTGCTGTAAATGTTACATAATGTCAAAGTCAATGTGAAATCTGTAGTCAGATGTATTTCCGAATAGGGGTGGGAATCTTTAGGAACATCACGATCTGATTCTGATTTTGGGAGTCACGATTTACTTTACAACACTTTCGAAGTTTATGGAAGAGTATTTTATTATTGATTTGAGGGTTTTTGGGGTGGGGTTGGGGATCAGAGGGCGGAGCTGGATAGGATTAGGGGTGGGGTTAGGGATCTGGGGCGGAGATGGGTAGGATTAGGGGTGGGGTTAGGGATCTGGGGGCGGAGATGGATAGGATTAGGGGTGGGGTTAGGCATCAGGGGCTGGAGATGGGTAGGATTAGGGGTGGGGTTAGGCATCAGGGGCGGAGATGGGTAGGATTAGGGATCAGGGGCTGGAGATGGGTAGGATTAGGGGTGGGGTTAGGCATCAGGGGCTGGAGATGGGTAGGATTAGGGGTGGGGTTAGGGATCAGGGGGTGGAGATGGGTAGGATTAGGGGTGGGGTTAGGCATCAGGGGCTGGAGATGGATAGGATTAGGGGTGGGGTTAGGCATCAGGGGGCGGAGATGGGTAGGATTAGGGATCAGGGCTGGAGATGGGTAGGATTAGGGGTGGGGTTAGGCATCAGGGGCTGGAGATGGATAGGATTAGGGGTGGGGTTAGGCATCAGGGGGCGGAGATGGGTAGGATTAGGGGTGGGGTTAGGGATCAGGGGCTGGAGATGGGTAGGATTAGGGGTGGGATTAGGGATCAGGGGCTGGAGATGGGTAGGATTAGGGGTGGGGTTAGGCATCAGGGGGCGGAGATGGGTAGGATTAGGGTGGGATTAGGGATCAGGGGCTGGAGATGGGTAGGATTAGGGGTGGGGTTAGGCATCAGGGGCTGGAGATGGATAGGATTAGGGGTGGGGTTAGGCATCAGGGGGCGGAGATGGGTAGGATTAGGGATCAGGGGCTGGAGATGGGTAGGATTAGGGGTGGGTTAGGCATCAGGGGCTGGAGATGGGTAGGATTAGGGGTGGGGTTAGGCATCAGGGGCTGGAGATGGGTAGGATTAGGGGTGGGGTTAGGCATCAGGGGCTGGAGATGGATAGGATTAGGGGTGGGGTTAGGCATCAGGGGGCGGAGATGGGTAGGATTAGGGATCAGGGGCTGGAGATGGGTAGGATTAGGGGTGGGGTTAGGCATCAGGGGCTGGAGATGGGTAGGATTAGGGGTGGGGTTAGGCATCAGGGGGCAGAGCTGGATAGGATTAGGGGTGGGGTTAGGCATCAGGGGGCGGAGATGGGTAGGATTAGGGATCAGGGGCTGGAGATGGGTAGGATTAGGGTGGGGTTAGGCATCAGGGGCTGGAGATGGATAGGATTAGGGGTGGGGTTAGGGATCAGGGGGCAGAGCTGGATCGGATTAGGGGTGGGGTTAGGCATCAGGGGGCGGAGATGGGTAGGATTAGGGGTGGGGTTAGGGATCAGGGGGCGGAGATGGATAGGATTAGGGGTGGGGTTGAGGATCAGGGGTGGAGATGGGTAGGATTAGGGGTGGGGTTAGGGATCTGGGGGTGGAGATGGATAGGATTAGGGGTGGGGTTAGGCATCAGGGGCTGGAGATGGGTAGGATTAGGGGTGGGGTTAGGGATCAGGGGGCAGAGCTGGATCGGATTAGGGGTGGGTTAGGCATCAGGGGGCGGAGATGGGTAGGATTAGGGTGGGTTAGGCATCAGGGGCTGGAGATGGATAGGATTAGGGGTGGGGTTAGGGATCAGGGGGCAGAGCTGGATCGGATTAGGGGTGGGGTTAGGCATCAGGGGGCGGAGATGGGTAGGATTAGGGGTGGGGTTAGGCATCAGGGGGTGGAGATGGGTAGGATTAGGGGTGGGGTTAGGCATCAGGGGCTGGAGATGGGTAGGATTAGGGGTGGGGTTAGGGATCAGGGGCTGGAGATGGGTAGGATTAGGGGTGGGGTTAGGGATCAGGGGGCGGAGATGGGTAGGATTAGGGGTGGGGTTAGGCATCAGGGGCTGGAGATGGATAGGATTAGGGGTGGGGTTAGGGATCAGGGGGCAGAGCTGGATAGGATTAGGGGTGGGGTTAGGCATCAGGGGGTGGAGATGGGTAGGATTAGGGGTGGGGTTAGGCATCAGGGGCTGGAGATGGATAGGATTAGGGGTGGGGTTAGGGATCAGGGGGCGGAGCTGGATAGGATTAGGGGTGGGGTTAGGCATCAGGGGGTGGAGATGGGTAGGATTAGGGGTGGGGTTAGGCATCAGGGGGCGGAGCTGGATAGGATTAGGGGTGGGGTGGGGATCAGGGGGTGGAGATGGGTAGGATTGGGGGTGGGGTTAGGGATCAGGGGGTGGAGATGGGTTATATATTATAATATTTATTTTGTTGTTGTTTGCGTTTGAATAACATTGATGAACAGGAACACTTATTGAAAGCTAAATAGGGACTTTTTTGGTTTCATGTTGACTTTAAAACTCTGCCTGCTCAAATGCATCCCAGAAAGTGTTACTGAAGTCAGAGTTATATCCTGACAATTAATCCTCCTCATCCATGACATTCTCCGACTCTAACATCTCCTCAGCATGTCTCTGAAATGCACGGTCCTCTCGTCTTGGAAGCATCTCAATATCTATCTTATCTATCTATCTGTCCCTCTTTCTCCATCTCCATAATTTCCATTCTGTTGAGTGTTGACTGTTCTACATGTGAAACTTTTCTTGCTTTGATTTCGTATATTTCCATTCTGTAAATTACTTCAACAGCATCAAGCAAAAAATGTCTTCTCCTGAGAGCAAGTAAGTGTGGTATAAACAAGGTAAACTTTGACATGAAACCTCATCATGCAAGCGTTTGAACCCTTCAGAGCCGCGAGACCGTTCGGACGAGGTCATTGCCACTTTATTCTGACTGCTGAATATTTCTTTGTTTTGGTTTGGTTTTACGGTCACATGATTCACGTTTGGCAGACACATGCATTGCTTGTTTAAACAAAGGCCCTGACACTGTAATGCAATCCGGCTTGTTCCTTACGGATCTAATGCACACGGCATCCATGACTTCCACCCAAACCCTGCCTGTGCAAACCAAGGTTTATGCCACTTAAGGCACTAACATTTCATTCACTGGGATCGTTTTATAACCCAAACTAAGCTAACTTGATCAGCATGTGATCTAAGTTTAAAGAGAGTATGGGTGATTCATCAATTAGAGGAACTTTTCTGTCGGCTAGGATGAATTTAAAGACAAAATGATTTAAATGAAAAAAAAAATGAATTCTAGTTTTACTGTGGTTTATTTATTTATTTTTAGGGCTGTGCAAAGATTAATTGCGATTAATCGCATCCAAAATAAAAGTTTGTGTTTACGTAATATATGTGTGTGTGCTGTGTATAATTATTTTGTATAAATTCATATGCATGCATGTATATATTTAAGAATTATTTGCATGGAAATACTATATATATATATATATATAATACATAATTTATATTATATATAAATAATTTATATATGAATAACACATTTTTTTAAATATATACATCCATGTGTGTGTATTTATATATGCAAAATAATTATACACAGCACACACACACACATATATTATGTAAACGCAAACTTTTATTTTGGATGCGATTAATCGCAATTAATCTATGCACAGCCCTATTTATTTTTATTTCTGTTCAAATGTTTGTTTTGCCAGAATTTCTTTATTTTGTTCCTGTTCCATAACCAGACATTACCATGGAAAATCAGGACAAATATTTGCACATTTTCTAATGAATAAATGAATGAATTTGTTTTTATGAAAAAATATTTATTGAACTTATTTATTTATATATTTTACTTATGTATTTAACTTCAACTATTTATCGTATAATCGCTAATAGATTGTGTCTTTTCAAGCATTTAAAAAATATTACATTTAAAAGTCTATGTTTGGTTATGATGTAAATGAGAATCAGATCTTTAAAAAGCAGAAATGTTTCTTTTTATTAATCTTTATTTTTTATCTTGACCAAACTAGTTATAATTTGAGAATTTTTAATTAAGCAACCATGCATATATTTGTATAAATTAAAAATATGTTGTATTAGCATGCACTTGTGCATAATGTGACAAGTGAAAATCCAGATTTATTTACAGGATTTATGGGATAAATGTTTTAACTTGGATTAGATGATGCGTAATTGAAAGAATTTTCATTTTTCATGCTTTCAGGAAGTCAAAAGTGCCTGTAATTGAAGAATCACTCATATGTCACACATACTGTAGCGTGTGTGTCTTTCTCTCCTAATGAAATATTCCTGATCTCCAGACTCGTTCATCCAGACGGGAGTCTGGCGGATCTGACGATGATGAGCACGTCTCCAGAGCCGCTGAAAGAGGAGAAGGAGAAAGAGAAAGAGAAGGAGTCCATGAACGAGGTGCTGGTCGTGGACTGTGTGGAGAAGGAGAAGAAGAAAGAGTCTTTATCCATCCACTCGGCTCATCTGTCCAGTCAGGAGGATAATCAGCAGTCCAGTGCCGCCACAGATCCTGAACCGCCGTCAGAGCAGAGCTCAGGTGCTGTTATTGGCTAGGCTAGTCTAGTCATTTCATTACAGCATATTCTCATTTCTATACACTTCTGTACACTTCTTAGATGGGGCTATTTGGATTTATATGTGTTTCACATATAGGGCCCTATCTTGCACCCGACGCAATTGACTTTGTACACTGACGCATTTGTATCAACCAGAAAAAAAAAATCTCCCATCCCCATACAACGACACTTCTTTGTCTTTCACTGCCCTAACAAGAACGTCGGTCTCCTCGGCTGTGAACGCTCCTGTCGCACTCTTGTTATTCACCGTAATAATGACAATCCACCATGCAACATGCGCACCTGCTCTTCAAGGGTATGTTAGATGACGCTCTGATTGGTTTATTTCACGTTACGCCCAAACCACACCTATGAATAATGAGGCTACTTCAGACCAAGCCCTTTTAGTCATTTATCCCGCCGGGAAAACAGCAACAGCGCCCAAGACCCACCCATAAAGTTACTTGCGCTTGATACTTGCGTTTCAGATCGTTAAAATAGGGCCCATGGTCATTTATTAAATTTTTTTTTTCAAAATAATTTTATTTATTTTATTTTTATTTTCATTTATTTATTTATTTATTTATTCATCAAACCTACCCACCACAGAAAACTTTATGCATTTTTTAATTTTCATATGGTCTACCTGAACCACACACACACACATCTATTTTATTTTTATTTATTTTATTTTATTTTTATTTTTAAATTTTATTTTTATTTATTTTATTTCCTATTTTATTTTTATTTATTTTATTTTTATTTTCATTTATTTATTTTTTCATCAAACCTACCCACCACAGAAAACTTTATGCATTTTTTAATTTTCATATGGTCTACCTGAACCACACACACACACACGTCTATTTTATTTTTATTTATTTTATTTTATTTTTATTTTTAAATTTTATTTTTATTTATTTTATTTTATTTCCTATTTTATTTTTATTTATTTTATTTTTATTTTCGTTTATTTATTTTTTCATCAAACCTACCCACCACAGAAAACTTTATGCATTTTTTAATTTTCATATGGTTTAACCTGAACCACACACACACACACACACGTCTATTTTATTTTTATTTATTTTATTTTATTTCCTATTTTATTTTTATTTATTTTATTTTTATTTTCATTTATTTATTTTTTCATCAAACCTACCCACCACAGAAAACTTTATGCATTTTTTAATTTTCATATGGTCTACCTGAACCACACACACACACACGTCTATTTTATTTTTATTTATTTTATTTTATTTTTATTTTTAAATTTTATTTTTATTTATTTTATTTTATTTCCTATTTTATTTTTATTTATTTTATTTTTATTTTCATTTATTTATTTTTTCATCAAACCTACCCACCACAGAAAACTTTATGCATTTTTTAATTTTCATATGGTTTAACCTGAACCACACACACACACACACACACACGTCTATTTTATTTTATTTCCTATTTTATTTTTATTTATTTTATTTTTATTTTCATTTATTTATTTTTTCATCAAACCTACCCACCACAGAAAACTTTATGCATTTTTTAATTTTCATATGGTCTACCTGAACCACACACACGTCTATTTTATTTTTATTTATTTTATTTTATTTTTATTTTAAAATTTATTTTTATTTATTTTATTTTATTTCCTATTTTATTTTTATTTATTTTATTTTTATTTTCATTTATTTATTTTTTCATCAAACCTACCCACCACAGAAAACTTTATGCATTTTTTAATTTTCATATGGTTTAACCTGAACCACACACACACACACACGTCTATTTTATTTTTATTTATTTTATTTTATTTTTAAATTTTATTTTTATTTATTTTATTTTATTTCCTATTTTATTTTTATTTATTTTATTTTTATTTTCATTTATTTATTTTTTCATCAAACCTACCCACCACAGAAAACTTTATGCATTTTTTAATTTTCATATGGTCTACCTGAACCACACACGCACACACGTCTATTTTATTTTTATTTATTTTATTTTTATTTTTAAATTTTATTTTTATTTATTTTATTTTATTTCCTATTTTATTTTTATTTTCATTTATTTATTTTTTCATCAAACCTACCCACCACAGAAAACTTTATGCATTTTTTAATTTTCATATGGTTTAACCTGAACCACACACACACACACACGTCTATTTTATTTTTATTTATTTTATTTTATTTTTAAATTTTATTTTTATTTTATTTCCTATTTTATTTTTATTTATTTTATTTTTATTTTCATTTATTTATTTTTTCATCAAACCTACCCACCACAGAAAACTTTATGCATTTTTTAATTTTCATATGGTTTAACCTGAACCACACACACACGCACACACGTCTGGTCCACTATCTTTGTGGGGACTCTCCATAGATGTAATGTTTTTTATACTGTACAAACTCTACTGTATATTCTGTGTCCTTACACTAACCCGACCCCTAAACCTACCCATCACACACACACACACACACACACACACACACATATAAACCCGACCCCTAAACCTACCCATAACTTTCTGCTCTTTTACATTTTCAAAAAAACATAATTAATATGTCCATTAATCAATTTCCGTCGCGGGGTCCCTTGGCTAGTCCTCACAGTGTAGGTGATTTCACGTTTTGCTATTCTTGTGGGGATATTTGGTCCTCACAATGTAATATAAACATGAGCACACACACACACAATGAAAAAAGTGAAGTATGGCGTTATTAAAGCAGTTAAGGGTGCTTCAGAGTAACTTGGATCAAAACCCTGTAAAGCATGAAACTACCGGCTAGTTCTGCTGCTCTGTTGTTTGTCTTTAGATGATAAAAGATGAGCCGAGCTAAAAGTGCATTTATACGTGCCCGTTCATTTGAACGCAGCATTACATTAACTCTCATTTTACCAGCCTTTCTGTTGCCTCTGTGTTTAGTTCAAGTATTTTACTTCTATGTAATTCTTGGAAGAAAAACAGTCCGATTTGTCCCTCGCTTCTGTTTCAGACCTCAAGAATAAGTGGCATTTGGTGGTGGACCGGCTCACAGTCCTGTTCCTCAAGTTCCTGGAGTATTTCCACAAGCTGAAGCTCTTCATCTGGTGGCTCCTCGAGATGCACATCACCAAGATCGTCTCCACCTACATCATCCTGCTGTCCGTCAAAGAGGTCGAAGCTCCGCCCACTTTTCCAAACGCAAACACGAACGTCGTTCGGTAATCTGACGCTGGGTCTGTTTGTGGTGTGTCTGTTGCAGGTCTCGCTGCTGAACTATGTGTTTTTGATCTCGTGGGCGTTTGCGCTGCCATATAAGCAGTTTCGAGTTCTCGCGTCAAGCGCGTGCACCGTATGGACGTGTGTTATCATCGTCTGCAAGATGTTTTACCAGCTAAAGTCCATCGAACCCAAAAACTACTCAAGCATTTGTATTATGGTGGGTGTCAACTCATCAAATGTGTCATCGGTTTCAGATGCAGTCATTAATGTCAAATACTTATCCAAATTGAGTTTAATAGATTTGATATTTAATCATGTGAACGTGCTTTTATAGCACGAGAACTACACAGAGACGCAGAAGAAATACATGAATACGTCCCTACTGTACCGGGAACCTGTAGATCCTGCCAACTGGGTCGGTCTGGAGAAGTTTGAACCAACACTACTCTACCTGAGGGTGAGGAGACACACTTTTCAAAGAAATATGACTTTATCATTCAATAACTCCAAAACAACGTTTGGTCACAGTTTACAATTTCTGTTTATTGCTAAGAATCGTTCAATCGTTTTCCTTCTTTCCCAGAATAACTTGTTGATGTTGGCCATCTTGGCGTTCGAGGTCACCATTTACAGGCATCAGGAGTTTTTCCGGCTGAGAAACCAACTCTCTCCTCCTCCCTCTCGAACCATCTTTCACGATATCACCCGACAACACCTCGACCACGGAATCATCAATTGTGCCAAATACTTCATAAACTATTTCTTCTACAAATTTGGTTTAGAGGTAAATATTTGTCTGTCTGTCTGTCTGTCTATCTATATTGTTCTGTCTGTCTGTCTATATATATATATATATTGGTCTGGATGTCTATATATATATTATTCAATGTCTATATGTATTGGTCTGTCTGTCAGTCTCTCTTTTTTCTGTCTGTCTGTCTATATATTGGTCTGTCTGTCTGTCTGTCTTTCTGTATGTCTATATATCTATATTGCTCTATCTATCTGTCTGTCTGTTTGTCTATCAATATTGGTCTGTCTGTCTGTCTGTCTATCTATCTATATTGGTCTGTCTGTCTGTCTGTCTGTCTATCTATATTGGTCTATATGTCTGTCTATCTATTTGACTGTCTAGCTATATTGATCTGTCTATCTGTCTATCTGTCTGTCTGTCTGTCTGTCTTTCTGTATGTCTATATATCTATATTGCTCTATCTATCTGTCTGTCTGTTTGTCTATCAATATTGGTCTGTCTGTCTGTCTGTCTATCTATCTATATTGGTCTGTCTGTCTGTCTGTCTGTCTGTCTGTCTATCTATATTGGTCTATATGTCTGTCTATCTATTTGACTGTCTAGCTATATTGATCTGTCTATCTGTCTATCTGTCTGTCTGTCTGTCTTTCTGTATGTCTATCTATCTATATTGCTCTATCTATCTGTCTGTCTGTCTATCAATATTGGTCTGTCTGTCTGTCTGTCTGTCTATCTATTTGACTGTCTAGCTATATTGATCTGTCTGTCTGTATTTCTGTCTGTCTATATATATTGGTCTATCTATCTGTCTTTCTGTATGTCTGTCTGTCTATATCGTTCTGTCTGTCTGTCTGTCTATCTATATTGGTCTATATGTCTGTCTATCTATTTGACTGTCTAGCTATATTGATCTGTCTGTCTGTCTTTCGGTCTGTCTGTCTATATACATTGGTCTATCTGTCTGTCTGTCTGTCTGTCTTTCTGTATGTCTATCTATCTATATTGCTCTATCTGTCTGTCTGTCTAACAATATTGGTCTGTCTGTCTGTCTATCTATTTGACTGTCTAGCTATATTGGTCTATCTATCTGTCTTTCTGTATGTCTGTCTATCTATATCGTTCTGTCTGTCTGTCTATCCATCTATCTATATATTTTGGTCTGTCTGTCTTTCTGTATGTCTATCTATCTATATTGATCTATCTATCTGTCTGTCTATCTATGTATATATATATATATATTGGTCTATCTATCTATCTGTCTGTCTATCTGTCTATATATATATATATATAATATATATATTTGGTCTTTCTTTCTGTCTGTCTATATATATTGGTCTATCTGTCTGTCTTTCTGTCTGTGTGTCTATTTATCTGTCTGTCTATATATATATATATATATATATATATATGTATATATATATATTAGTCTGTCTTTCTCTATATATTGGTATATCTATCTGTCTATCAATCATTTGATGGATGTTTCTCGTTCCATGTTCCTCCATTTCTTCTCTGAATGTGTTGTTTCAGGTGTGTTTCCTGTTGGCGATTAATGTGATGGGTCAGCGGATGGATTTCTACTCCATGCTGCACGGTTTCGCTCTGGCGTTGGTGATGTTCAGACGCCGGAGGAAAGCTATCGCGGAGATATGGCCCAAATACTGCTGCTTTCTGGCCTGCATGATCACCTTCCAGTATTTAATTTGCATTGGAATCCCAGGGGCTGCTTGTGCAGGTGTGTGTCGCTCTGGGCCTTTTCAAACATGTGTTTAACAGGTTCTTAGACAGTTTATAGGACATTGACTTATTAACTCAGTAAGTTGAGTTAATGTTTGAAAAAAAATGTAATTATAATATATAATGTCAAATAAAATAGCAACAAGCACAGTGGTTCAACACTGTGATGTGATATGACATCTGTTATTCTCTTTCTCTGCACTGTGTTTGTATGCCATTTATTTCCTTGTTTTATCTGTTTCCAGGGATGAAGAATATTTAATTCTTAAACTTCTCTTTGTTTCTAGACTATCCCTGGAGGCATCCTAAGAGCAAGATAGAGTCTAACGTCATTAAATGGCTTTACCTCCCTGATTTCCACA